TCCAATGTTTACCCCCCCCCCCTTTTATTCTTTTCAAAGTTTAGTTTATGTTAAATAAGATTTAAGATGATGCAAGTGTAAAATAAAAAGGTCTAATCCACCCTTTCCCTGTACACCCTGTATTTTTAGAAAGGACTAATCTACCCTTTCCCTGTACACCCTGTATTTTTAGAGAGGACTAATCTACCCTTTCCCTGTACACCCTGTATTTTTAGAAAGGACTAATCTACCCTTTCCCTGTACACCCTGTATTTATAAAAAGGACTAATCTACCCTTTCTCTGTACACCCTGTATTTTTTAGAAAGGTTGTAGAATGCAGACAAATTCTAAATTACAACCTGTAATGTGTTGAAGGTTTGATTAATCCATATATCTTTACAAACCCTGTAGATAATTTTTTATTTATCCATATACATAATAAAAAGGGTTGAACATATATTGATGGACCAAGTAGAAGGTTTGATATACCTTATACACCATGCACAGTGGAACCCATAAAATTGTGGAACAGAAAGACAATTAATTATTCGTATTTCTATTTTATGTTGTTAAAAAGCAATAAGTTTATCAGTAGATTAAAAATCAACTTATTACGTGAATTGGTTCTGTGTTAACTACACAATTGTTGTTATTCGTCTATATTGTCCTATCTAAAATAAAATGATAATAGTCGTCTTCTAATTCTACAGTTTTAAGAGTCTCGCTATGGAAAGGATAAATATTGATCTCTCTTCACCCTGTAGAAAACATCATTCCAGATTTGAATTAGTTTCTACACTCTGTAGAAGGATTGAATAAATCTCTGTACATCCTGAAGACGGAATGAATAAATCTCTATACTCTGTAGAAGGATTGAATAAATCTCTGTACATCCTGTAGAATGAATGAATAAATCTCTACACCATGTAGAAGGGTTGAATAAATCTCTACATCCTGTAGAAGGGTTGAATAAATCTCTACACCATGTAGAAGGAATGAATAAATCTCTACACCAAGTAGAAGGATTGAATAAATCTATACACCCTGTAGAAGGGTTGAATAAATATCTACACCTTGTAGAAGGGTTGAATAAATCTCTGCACCATGTAGAAGGGTTGAATAAATCTCTACACCATGTAGAAGGGTTGAATAAATCTTTACACCCTGTAGAAGGATTAAATTAATCTCTGCTCACCCTATAGAAGGGTTTAGATTGATGTGAAATTACAGCAAGGTGTGCTGATATCTTTTATCTGAGTAGGTTTCCCAGGTGGTTTCTCCATAGTTCCACCTGCCCAGGGAAACCTTAAAGAAAGATTTAACATAATAGCTCTAAGCCTATTCCATTTTTCAAAGGCAAATAAAAGAGTAGAAGGTTTGAGGGCTGATGGAGGAAAGGGGGACGAAATGTATCTAATGAATAGATGCTGAAGGAAAAGGGTTCAGGTCAGGAAAATGAATGGCTTGGATGAAATGAATGTAATGGTCTGCTTGGATGAGATTTCTATAGTTATGTCACGGATTTATGGGTTGGAAGAGAGAAGAATTACTGGGTTTCTTCAATTAGGTTTAGTTTAGTTTTTCAATATCATCAAATCCTGAAAAGAATCTTCTGTAAATAAATCTAAAATTTAAATAAAAGTTAGACTGATTAGGAAAAGAGTTGGATACTAAAGACTGATTGAAATATGTGAAACCCGACTTAGTATACACAGTCTGTAAAGGTGAGGCGAGGGAGTGTGTGGTTTCCTTCTGATTTATTTGTTTTTAAGAGAAGTTAGAGTTAAATATCAGCCTAAATCATAGCTTAACTTGACCAATAATCCGCTTAGGTCAATTTTCAGGACACGTCCCATAAACACTTCAAACTAAAGATTACACGGGAAGGAGGAGCAATAAGATAGATAGAGGAAGGTAGGAGCAATCGACAGTATAAGGAACGATAAGATAGTGGGAGCAATTCACATAAGAAGGAGCAATAAGGTACATAGCAATCGACATTATTAGGAACGATAAGATAGTAAGCGCAATTCACATTAGAAGGAGCAATAAGGTACATAGAGCAATCGACATTATTAGGAACGATAAGATAGTAAGCGCAATTCACATTAGAAGGAGCAATAAGGTACATAGAGCAATCCAAATGAGTATGAGAAACCACGTTTGAAGAAATAAGGTACATATAAACATCCATATTATTGGGAGCAAACCAAATAGAAATTTATATATAGTATGAGCTATCAGGAAAAGCAGAAGTAATCAGACCTTGTTTGAGCAACCTAAACTAGTATGGAGCTTTCAGGAGTAATAGGAGCAATCCCTGGAGCTATTAGAAAATTTATTAGTCATTCAAACTAGTAGGAGTAATAAGGAGTAGTTGGAGAAATCCTTAGAACTATCAGGTGAGTTATCCAAACTAGTACGGAGCTATAAGGATTAGAAGGAGAAATCCTTGGAACTATCAGAAGAGGCAGGAATTATACAAACTAGTACGGACCAGACAGGAGTAGTAGGAGCAATCCCCGGAGCTATCAGGGGAAGTATAAGTTATCCAAACTCCTCGGATCAATAAGGAGTAGTTGGAGCAATCCTTGGATTGTAGGAATTGTCCAAACTAGTTGGAGCTATCAGGATTAGTATGATCAACCCTTGGAGCTATCGGGGGAAGTAGGAGTTATCCAAACTAGAATGGAGCTATCAGGATTAGCAAGAGCAATCCATGGAGCTATCAAGTGAAGTAGGGGTTATCCAAACAAATTGGAGCAATTAGGGGTAATTGAAGCAAACAGGGGATCAGGGGAAGTAGGAGTTATCCAAACTAGTGGGAGATATCAGAGGTAGAAGGAACACTATTCAAAGCAATCTTGGGTAGGAATTTACATTAGCAGAAGCAATCAGGTTTTAAAGCTTGATAAAGGAATTGAGTCTTTGCCACAAACTCAAATTTTCTAATCTCAATATCTTTTTATCCGGATTGTATAAACCTTGTATAAATCTGAGTTTGTGACAATGACTCAATTCCTTTATTTTGAGATGAAAATGTAAACGGAAGTATTTAAGTATCTAAGTCAAAGCAAGAATAATGGATTGAAAGATCGGATGTTGACAGTTTTAAAATAAATGAATTGATAAAATATTGCAAGATTTTAAATGTTCATCTCTTTTAGAAATTGAATAGTTTAGATTATCCCAGTACAATTCATGGGCGGGCTTCACATCCACCAGAGATTGAAGAACCTGGAAGAAAACTTGACAGATTAATATATTAATGAATAGATGGATAGATCCGAAACCTTCTCAAATGGAAGCAATGTATTTTTGAATAATTGTAACATTCCATAGGATGATACTGTCCGGAGAATACCCAACCCTCTTTGTTCTAAGAAAGTACATTTACCATGAAATGTGTCCAGCTTCAATTGATTCATCAAAATATCTCCATGGTTAGTTCAACTCTGTATATTAATGAAAATGTTTTTTTTCGTTCAAGGAGAAAGAATGAAAATTTTGATGCCTGTTTATGACATAAAAAATAGAACAAATTTTCTTCTTTTTATGATAAGATTAAAGTTTAAGGAATATGGCTAACCTAAAAACTGGTGAAACTGGACAGCTTGAGAGAAGAAGTATATATATTTAATGATAATGTAGTGTCAGGACGGAGCACGATCTTATCAACTCCTCTCAACTCTTCAACGAATATTTCGGTTTCTTTATGCCGAGGTTCATTAACATCGGAGCATTATTTTCACTGTGACTATCTCTGGTTCTCTCTACTTTATCTAGTTCCATCTACTACTTTAGTTCTCTATCTTCTCTCTCTGGTTCCCTCTTCTCTCTCAGGTTTCTTCTTCTTTCTCTGGTTCCCTGTACTCTCACTGCTTCCCTCTATCTCTCTGGTTCTCTACTTTCTTTCGTTCCCTTTACTCTCTCTGGTTTCCTCTACTCTCTATTTGCTCTCTCTACTCTGTGTTTCCCTCTACTCTCTCTGGTTCCATCTGCTATCTTTGGTTCTCTCTACTCTCTTTGGTTTACTTTACTTTCGCTTGTTCCCTCTATTATCTTTCGTTCCCTGTACTAACTCAGATTCTCTCTTCTTTCTCTGGTTCTCCCCACTTTCTTTGGTTCCCTTTACTCTCTTTGGTTTTCCCTAATCTCTCTTGTTTTCTCTGTTCTCTGTGTTTTCCTCTACTCGTCTGGTTTCCTCTTCTCTCTACATCTCTCTCTACTCTCTGTGTTTCCCTCTACTCTATCTAGTTCCCTCTACTCTCACTGGTTCCCTCTACTCTGTCTGGTTTTCTCTTCTCTCTATATCGCTCTCTACTCTCTGTGTTTCCCTCTACTCTTTCTGGTTCCCTCTACTCTAGCTGGTTCCCGCTCCTCTATCTTGTTCTCTCTATTGACTTTCGTTAACTGAACTAACTCAGATTCTCTCTTCTTTCTCTGGTTCTCCCTACTTTCTTTGGTTCCCTTTACTCTCTTTGGTTTTCCCTAATCTCTCTGGTTTTCTCTGCTTTCTGTGGTTCCCTCTACTGTTTCTGGTTCTCTATACTCACTCTTGTTCTCTCTACTATTATCTCTGGTTCCCTCTACTCTATCTTGTTCCCTCTACTTTTTCTGGTTCCCTTTACTCTCTGTGGTTCTCTCTACTCTCAACGGTTCCCTTTACTCAGTTGCATTTGTTCCCCTCTTGTTCATTTTCTTCGTGGATTTTTACGTTTCAATTAATTTAATTTCCTAATCTTTCTTTCTCCGCGGTTTCTTTCTATTCTCTTACCTAACAAGAATAACAAAATTATCTAAACTTCATGCATATCAAGGTTTATTTAAAGAGCTAGAAGATGAGGGAAGAGAAATGAGCCAAGTCCAGGATTATTATCCAAAGATTTATCTCTTCGCTCTGTATTCTAATTATATATGAAGCCCCGTGTACCACCTGCCTAAAGATCCAAAGATTCTAATCTTATACTCATTTTAATCTCATCTCTCATACTATATTGTATTCAGTCCTACAGGTTACCTGGAGAGGGACGATGACTTCAAGTTTCTTTGTCAACCAATCCTAGCTTACGTCAATACGCACCTAGATTTATTCTATATCAATAAAATATACATTTGAAAAATCAAATAAATAAAAATTTTATTCAATTTTCCCCTTCCCTGAGAGTTTAATTGACAAAGGACAATTGATCTGCATTGATTTTGTGAACAATAAAATCTTTTTGCTTATTATTTGAATTATAATAGAAATCTAGAGTAATGACTTATTTTCCCAGGGGTTTCGTTTTAACCGACCATAAAGGATGGTTGGTTTGTCCGTCCTAGTTCAGCTCCGGGGGGTATAATTTATACTTGGCTTTCTAGGCTTGTGAAATAATTTGATTCTAATGCAGAAAGCTGGGATTTTGAAGATTTATTAAGTTCTATCAATTTAATTTAAACTGAGGAGGATTAAAAGAATTGATTTTAAAGTAACTAGTAGGGCTAATAATTCATCAAGAAACTTTATGATAACCATTACTGAGAGTGATTCCTTTTAACCCCCCCCCCCGCTTATACAAACTTGGTTTGTTTTTTAACTTTAATGTGTTAAAGAATTCGGTCCCAGGAAAAACAATTGTAGTATCAACGAGGATTAACTATCCAGGAAATAAAATTGTAGTATCAACGAGGATTAACTATCCAGAAAATAAAATTGTAAAATCAACGAGGATTAACTATCCAGAAAATAAAATTGTAGTATCAACGAGGATTAACTATCCAGAAAATAAAATTGTAAAATCAACGAGGATTAACTATCCAGAAAATAAAATTGTAGTATCAACGAGGATTAACTATCCAGAAAATAAAATTGTTTCGCGCTGGTTGGCGACTTATAAGTTAACATGAAGGATTGAAATGGTTTCTCTCAGAACGAAAGGTACAGAACTGTTGAAGGAAAAGTTAATTCATCTTCAGGTGTTTATACACTAGAAATACATAATAATTAGAAAAATACAAATAATGTTTAACTATTTACATATAAAAGTTTTAAGAAACTAGTATCAATTACATACCAATGACGCTCTGGGGTAGAACTAGATCCTTCAGTTAAACAGTCAACACTGACTGGTTTAAGGATAAGTTTATATATCATGCAGTACGGTCAATGTTTGTAAACAAAACCGGACCAGAATAAACAGCAAATCAAGGAAAAAGGGGCGTTCCATTTTCTTATATTAATTCATTAAACCACAAAAGATCGCGATATAAAACTCGCGAAACAAAAATTGTAGAATCAACGAGGATTAACTATCCAGGAAACATAATCATAGGATCCATGAGGATTAACTATCCAGGAAATAAAATGGTAGAATCAACGAGGATTTACTATCCAGAAAATAAAATTGTAGTATCAACGAGGATTAACTATCCAGGAAATGAAATTGTAGTATCAACGAGGATTAACTATCCAGGAAATAAAATTGTAGAATCAACGAGGATAAACTATCCAGAAAATAAAATTGTAGGATCAACGAGGATCAACTATCCAGAAAATAAAATTGTAGTATCAACGAGGATTAACTATCCAGAAAATAAAATGGTAAAATCAACGAGGATTTACTATCCAGAAAATAAAATTGTAGTATCAACGAGGATTAAAATAAAATTGTAGTATCAACGAGGATTAACTATCCAGGACATAAAATTGTAGAATCAACGAGGATAAACTATCCAGAAAATAAAACTGTAGGATCAACGAGGATGAACCATCCAGAAAAAAAAATTGTAGAATCAACGAGGATTAACTATCCAAGAAATAAAATTGTAGTATCAACGAGGATTAACTATCCAGAAAATAAAATTGTAGTATCAACGAGGATTAACTATCCAGAAAACAAAATTGTAGTATCAACGAGGATTAACTATCCAGGAATTAAAATTGTAGTATCAACAAGGATTAACTATCCAGAAAATAAAATTGTAGTATCAACGAGGATTAAAATAAAATTGTAGTATCAACGAGGATTAACTATCCAGGAAATAAAATTGTAGTATCAACGAGGATTAACTATCCAGAAAATAAAATTGTAGAATCAACGAGGATTAACTATTCAGAAAATGAAATTGTAGTATCAACGAGGATTAACTTCCAGGAAATAAAATTGTAGTATCAACGAGGATTAACTATCCAAAAAATAAAATTGTAGTATCAACGAGGATTAACTATCCAGGAGATAAAATTGTAGAATCAATGAGGATTAACTATTCCATAAATATAATCATAGGACCCATAAGGATTAACTATTCCATAAATATAATCATAGGATCCATGAGGATTAACTATCCAGGAAATATAATCATAGGATCCATGAGGATTAACTATTCCATAAATATAATCATAGGATCCATAAGGATTAACTATTCCATAAATATAATCATAGGATCCATGAGGATTAACTATCCAGGAAATAAAATTATCGAAGGATTTAACGATTGAAATATTAAAGGATTGAATGGTTGAAGAATTATTTGTTGAATTAAAGTATTAGCGGATTAATGGAAGTATTGCAGGATTAAAGTATTAAAGGATTGAAGAATTAAAGGATTAAAGATTAAGTATCAAGGTATTCTAGTGCAAGGGTTGTCTAGCTGAAAGAACTGATTTTCAAGACAAATTGTTCCCAGAGAACTGTGAATTAATTTGACCACACAGGATATAGTTTGTGTAGAATCATGTTCAACTTCACTCAACCTTAAAGTAACAGACCTTCAAAATTATATGTTTTTTTCAACTTATTTCAATAAGAACTTTTAAAAAATTTTAAGTCGCAAGAAATGTATTAAGGGCAAGTCATTAAAAAAGTATTTCACCCTATTTCAGCAATTAAATTTCCAAGATAGATAGCGTTGTCTCTTTTTAATCTATCACTAGGTAGTAGGTACTATATCCAAATTTCTTTTCTAATTTTTACATCAACAGAAAACATGGTAAACTTTGATATTGAATGCTTCCTTTCCTATCTAAATACATTTAAAAAAATACAGGTTTCAGTTACAATACAGTGAGTCAGTACAACAGACCTTTTTCACGGGAAAACAAACAAAATTTGCAAGTCACTCAATTGCAAATATTTAAAGTATTTGAGTTTGACTAAACAAAATCTAGAAATCAGGGTTGTCCTTGCTGAGACACTATAAGGTCTGCTGCCTTCATTCAAGAAGTCTCTGTCCTCAGGGGGTTTCTTATCTTATCTTATTCCATCACGAGACAAATCTTCATTTGGATTTTTTCTGTTTATTTCCTTCTACACTAGCCTATGGTATCCATATAAACAGTACTAGCTTGGGAACCCAGCACAGCGTTGCCCAAGTTAATCGTAAGTTACTCCCGCCGTTTACCCGCGCTTGGTCTTTCATTACGATTTAACTATTTTTCCCAATAAAAGTCGTATCCATATAGGTTGCAAAGATATGGGGATTACAAAATTTGAGCGTGTAGCAGAGACTCAATTCCTTTAGTATTAGAACGGGACATTTTTATATCTGGACAAATTTTGGGTAGAACATTTAAGATGGGATCTGGGTCGGGGAAGGTCCTGATCAAAACCTATGAAACCCACCAAAGTTGTTCACTTCGGAGAAAATTAAATGATTAATTTTGAAAAATGGAGTTCTGCAGCACTAACCCCAGTTAAGCTCATGGTAGGCTCCAATTTTGGAAAATGGAGTTCTGCAGCACTAACCCCAGCTAAGCTCATGGTAGGCTCCAATTTTGAAAAATGGAGTTCTGCAGCACTAACCCCAGTTAAGCTCATGGTAGGCTCCAATTTTGAAAAATGGAGTTCTGCAGCACTAACCCCAGTTAAGCTCATGGTAGGCTCCAATTTTGGAAAATATTTTTGAAAATATTTTGTTTAACAAATCTCATACTTTACAGATAGTCTAAATTCTTAAAAACAAGTACAACCATTTTTTTGTGTTTTTTTTATCAGAAAAAGATCACTTCGTATTCTGCGGGGAACGATATTATTTTAAAAAAATATCCTTCCGAAGACATTTATATCGACCAGGAAGACTTCCATTAGAATAATTTTTATTTTAATGGGGTAATTATAATTATTTACAACTACTTTACAGAGAAGTTAAGGGAATTTTACTTTACCAAGAGTTCCCAAGACCAATTTTGCCTACAAAACATCCAGAGCGCAGAGAGAGATGTCTTTCAGACAAAATTGTTCGAGGGAACCCTTGGTTAAGTAAAATTTTTAATTTCCCGAAAAAGTAGTTGTACACAATTTTATCGCCTTTTGAGATGAAATTTTTTTTCCCGAAAACTTCTCAGAGCGGTTGGTTACTTTACATAACTGTCCCAAAGGACGTTAAGTAACTTAACCTACCTATGTTTGGGGAATCATAGGTCGGTAATATTGGTCAAAAGGCGGTAAAATTTCTTTCCACATATCTATATCTATTCAAAATAAAGGTTTAATATCGTCTTGATTTAATATCTTTATCTATGTCTATACCTGTAACACCAATAACTCTACCTATAGAAAAGGTTTTATGCAGGTTTTAATTAGATATCTTTCTACCTATACATATAACGCCCATTTACCTACCTAGAAAACGTTTTATCGTTTTTTGGCTTGATTTCTTACTACCTATACCAACGGTAATGGAATCTATATCAATGGTTATGGCATATATTCATTTATCTACCTTATCAATGGTATGGTACATATCCATGTATCTACCTACAACTATAGAAGTCATATATATCTATTGTGTTCTGCCTTTAATTTCTTTTTCCAAATAATATTTAATAATTTAGTTAAGAAAGAAACAAGTTTACAGTTAACTTAATAAATTCCTTACAGTTGTCTCTAAAGTTGCATCTATTGTGGGTAACCTACAGTTCGTGTAATATATCTACCTAAATGTATGGTAGCCATGTATCTATTATACCTGGGTATTCGATTTACTATAGAACCCATCCACCTATGTTACCCATATATAGGGTTTCCAATCAGAATTACGCGCAACTGTTCTTGTATTGTGCGGAATAGTGTGGAATTGCGCAGAATTACGAGGAAATTACAGGGTCGCAATTGCGCGCAAATAAAATCCGCTTGTGTTGGAAACCAATATACCTTTGTATCCTATGGTATCCATATACCTTTGTATCCTATGTTATCCATATACCTTTGTATCCTATGGTATCCATATAACTTTGTATCCTATGGTATCCATATATCTTTGTATCCTATGGTATCCATATACCTTTGTATCCTATGGTATCCATATACCTTTGTATCCTATGGTATCCATATAACCATGTCACCAATCACCCTCAACTATACGCTTTCGGTGTGTACTTCAGTGATTTGCAGTACACTGACCGAAGAAAAAGTAGGGTTTAGTGGAGAGTGCTATAAACACCTCGGTTGCCTGTTCGAGAAGAATTATATATTGGTAGCGTGTGCTGGTTTCAGTGCAATTAAGTATGATTTGGGCCACTTCTAAATATGAGGTTCTCGCTGAGCACCTGCTTGTGTAAAAAAGTGGCCTCAATCTCAAGATAAGAGAATGCAAAGTACACCTGTATACCTGTGTCCAGCTGCTCCACATTTATACAAAGTGTAGACACTCAACAGGTAGATAGTAGACTCAAACTATATATAAAATGGTAGATATTCAACAAGTAGATAGTAGACTCAAACTATATATACAGTGGTAGATATTCAACAAGTAGATTGTAGACTCAAACTACAATATATTCAGTTTTAGATACTCAAGAAGTAGATAGTAGACTCAAACCAGGATATATACAGTGGTAGATATTCAACAAGTAGATTGTAGACTCAAACTACAATATATTCAGTTTTAGATACTCAAGAAGTAGATAGTAGACTCAAACCAGGATATATACAGTGGTAGATACTCAACAAGTAGATAGTAGACTCAAACCAGGATATATACAGTGGTAGATACTCAAGAAGTAGATAGTAGACTTAAACCAGGATATATACAGTGGTAGATACTCAAGAAGTAGATAGTAGACTCAAACCAGGATATATACAGTGGTAGATACTCAAGAAGTAGATAGTAGACTCTAGC